AAGAAATCAGGAAGGGGGCAAACACTTTTTCACACAACTGTATGTCCTCGTTTTTCCCTAAACAGTTGATGTCAGAGCAGGAAGCCTGCTAGACTCCAATAATAGGCCAAACAGACCGATAATCTGGAACTCTGCGTATGATTTCTTCTCAAAGAAGGTGGGGCGGTGGCGTTAATGAGATTCACCGGCGCTGTTAATTCATCTCTACGGTAATGAATGTCTTGTGACGCGCAGCAATAGTAGGCAAAAGTGCACCGTCAGCCGAGGCAGCTGCTGTGACTTTCAGCTAACGAAGGAAGGATGAGGCACTTCATTACGGAAGCGGCGCCGTCGCTCTGCTGCTGCCTAAAGTAAAAGCAGCAACTGTGTAATGGCAGCATTTGTAGTGTGCACCACACACACACACACACACACACACACACACACACACACACACCACAGCAACCAGTGCCTCCCATATAAAATTTAAAAAAAAGAAAGATTTTTTGTTTCTCAATCTTTGCTCCTCTGCACCGAGGCTCAGTCTCTTAAACTTCACGGCTGATTAATAGTGCATGGGGAGGGAGGGAAAGAGAAGGAGGGAGGAAGAGAAAGAAAAGGGAGAGGCGGATAGAGGGAGAGAGGTGCGAGAACTTGAGAGCAATAATGACAAATTGAAAGAAAAGTTTAGCACGGAGGAGTGAGAAGATGAATGCATGAGAAAAACCGATGGAATGTGCAGATATGATAATGGATCCTTGTGGCAAATGCACTGGCCTCTGTGTGAATTGGTCCTGGGACAGAAAGAGAGGACGATTGTCTCCTTTTATCTCGTCGCATAGAACACACCATCCCTCTCCCCTCCTTCGTGCAGAAAGGAGCGCGAACGCGTCTGAGCGGTGGCACGCTTCTGCCACAAAAAAAACCTCATTCAACAAATCCTTTAATTGCCTGATCGATGCCCGTAGAGCCATGCAAATTAAGCCGATAGTCGATAGGGGCTGGGTCGGGTCGGACGTCCACGCGCTGATCAAAGTGCACATTGTGCAAAAAAAACAACAGGATTAAAGCATTCATCTGTAGGCTCCACCTTGAACCATTATCCTGACCCTCAAGCAAAGCTGGCATGAGATACAGAGCAAAAAAAAAAAAAAAGGCCATTGGAAGTTTTAGACCATCCATCACTGTGCTCTAACAAAAAAAAAAAAAGGCGTGCGCTTATGGAAGCTGCAGACACACAGACACACACACACACACACACACACACACACACACACACACACACACACACACACACAAGGTGAGATAAGACGGGGGATGTTTCAGCGGGTCCCTGCAGGGCCAGAAAACTAAGAGCGGAGTTCGGGAGATGCCTCGTGCATCAGCGCCGTCTTACCTTGCGTTTTGCCAGCCAAAGTCTCATCCCAGCGTCTCAGAAGTAGCATGATGGTGCGGCCTGGGACTCCTCTCTCCCTCTCATAGCCTCAGACTGAGGGAGGCTGAACTGCAACCAAAAGCACGAGAACAAAGACAACATGAGTATTGATCAGCTATTGCATCTTCAAATATTCAGATTTTGGGGTTTCTGTCATCGCGGTTTGTCTCTCCGTGTGTGCAATCATTAAACAGGAAAGATGAACAGAGCACCGCTCTAAACACAATGAAACCAGTAAACCACCTCACCAGGTGTATTTGCTCCAGCCAGCTGCGCTTTATAAAATGACTGCGCTCTAGTCTCCATGATTCATTGACCTACACCTCTCTACCAGGTCCCCTCATTGGGTGTGTGGGGTTTGCTGAAGCAAATACAGATGTTCATGAATGACGCTGCTGAGCATTTATCCCCCCACCCCACCCCACATCATAGTGCTTTCAGTGTCGACTGCGAACAAGGAGTTGGGAACTCACAGCAGTTTTAGGTAAAATCCTCGATGGGTCAAGAGGGTAAAGCAGCAGTTTGGAAGGTAATTGTACTCCACGGGAGCAGCTTCGCTTCTGTTCTCCCCTTCGCTCCTCCGAAGAGACGTTTGGCGCCGCTTGTTTTTTCGGACGTCCGCCAGTCTGTTATTGCAAATGGGAACACAGGGAGGACAGGAGGGTCAGAAGCAGGTCGCGGTACGGTTAGAGTCCAATAAAACCCGTGCTGCGCTTTGGCACAGCGGGCGACCTCTGACCCGCTCCCCTTCGAGTTAAATTAAGATTAAGTGAGGGGGATTTAAAGAACGCACGACTCGATTATTGTTTAGAGTGTGAATCCACTGTGAGGGCTATTTCTCCCCTTAATTTCTGAACTGTGTGTGTGTGTGTGTGTGTGTGTGTGTGTGTGTGTGTGTGTGTGTGTGTGGGTGTGGGTGTGGGGGGGGATGAAAGAGTCTGGTTTGAGGAGAATCCAGCCCAGTATGATAAATTATACATTTCCTCCAAATGTGCTGTAGTAGTTAATTGTCTCTGCCTTCATCCCCAACAATCGCCCAACGACAGCGCGTAGATCAGAAGAATAATAAATAGCTCCGATTAATCCAGATTATAACTCATGTAGCACGCGGCCCACAAGGAGCCCATGTAGAGCGTCTCAACTGGAGGGGAGAGTGTGGGCCATACTTTAGGTAAATGAATGATTAATTGAAGTATGTCGATGAATAATAAACCAGTCTCTGCGGGGTAACAGATTGTACTTTTCATATTTAATAGATTGATGGGGGCCCTCATACACACACAAAAACACACTCGCGGCGACATGTAATTGCAGGCCGGTCACGTGTGCTCGGTTCGACACATGAAACAGAAAGGGCGGGGGGGGGGGACGTACAGTAGATTAACACATCAAAGAAGGCCTACGCTGCTCTCATGAAACGCCCAGGCAGTTCTAGCTTGTTTCTCAGCTTCTACTAATCCCACAAAAGGGGCCTAAATGTTGCTTTTTTCCCATACACCGTGTGTGTGTGTGTGTGTGTGTGTGTGTGTGTGTGTGTGTGTGTGTGCTCCCATCCCCTCTCATGGACAGCGTCTGCGTCGATACAAGTCCTCTTAATCAGCTCCGATGAATTATTGAATAGTCTTTTTATATCAGATCATGACCCATATTCCGCTCGCTTGAAGTGAACACGCTGCCAATAAAATAAAATAAAAATCGAGATGTACTTTTTAAGTCGCCCCGCACCGCCGACCGGCTCGTTTAACAAGATGATGGATGGACACACACACACACACACACACACACACACACAGGAATCTGAGGTGTTTTGACTCCTAGCAGACTTCAAATCGTCTTTTTCATGTTTTAGGTTTGACTTGAACCTCATCAATTCCCCGGGACGGCACGGAGCGGAAGTCATCTGAAGATACGATCTGTAATAGAGTGTTATTGCTGGTTTCATTAAGGGGCAGATGCAGTGCTCAGAGCTCAGACACAGGAGTTGCATTGTCGTCTCATTAGGTAGCACATGGCGAGGAGGAGAGACAGAGAGGGTGTCGCTAGGAAGAGGGGATGGGATTACGCGTCTCCTTAGCCCCTGCTGTCTCCTCTTCCTGGCCTGTTTATCAATGACGACTGCAAACACGCCGCCTGTGAAAATCTCTTAAGCTCTGTTTGGAGACTTTTTGGCAGACTTCTTTCTCCACGTAAGCCGGCTGGCATCGAGCGGTTTTGGCAGGAGGCTTGAAATATGCGGCGGTGGCCTCGGTCACCAACTGATTTATTGTTCAATAAAATTTGGTGGCCATATTTACACAAACATTATTCATTTAGAATGAGGGTACACTTTAACTCTTAGGGAGGTACACCGGAGAACGAACATTAACTGCAATGTCACTTTTTGGCGCGGGAGGGGGGGGGGGGCCTGAAAATTAGCGCGCAAAATATATGACGCTGAAATAGATGAAACGCACATTCTCGTCTTTCTCGTCAGAGACGAGATGGGTTCACGGTGCCGAACGCGGTCCGGAACTTGACAAAGAGATGAAGTGTCGCGCCGCGGCCGCCAACACATCACCTCTACATGTGCATGGAAGTGAGGCTCAGCCACATCCATCTTCTAACCTGTTCAATTGGACACCGATTGCTCACCCGGCTTCGCTCGAAAGGATCGGTTAAAAAGGGACAGTTCACCCCAAAATCTCCTCTTTTTCTCTCCGTTTTGAGCACAAGCTGAGTGCCATACTGTCCCATTATCGCCAAAACAAGGCAACTCACACCAAAACAATCTAGATCGACAAACAGCACTACGGTTTTGATTTTGGGGGTGAACCGTCCCTTTAAAACTTAATCAGCATCCTTTATCTTAAGTGTAGTCAAACCGGCCGTATCGACTACAGTTTCCCAGCTAAGTGGCACGAAGCGTTGACATCACCATCCATTTTGCTTCCCGCCTCGCTCGCACTCTCGCTGTACTATTTCTGTGTAGTCGTTACAGTAAAAAGACGGCGGCGAGCCATGTGTCGGGGGGGGGGGGGGGGGGGGGGGGGGGCAGCGCTTGCACCCGAGACGTCCATTTTGCAGCGTGGCAGCTGTGACAGCTTTGACACACTGCCTGGGCTTAAGTGGCCCATCTGCAGATAGGCTGCAAGGGGTCACGTGTGTGTGCCGAGAGCGCCGAGCAGAATGGGTAATGGTCCACGGTTATGGGAGCAGGTCCCAGGTGGGTTTCACAGGTACATAGCACTAACTTTGACCGTGCGGCACACACACACACACACACACACACTGTATGAATCCAAACGGCTGTCATCCAAATGATGGGAAAGTTAATCAGAGAAGAGGGGTCAATCTTCGATGCGCTTATGATGGAAAGATGGACAAAGTGTCTGCGTGTGCGTGAAAGAGAGAGAGTGTGTGTGTGTGTGTGTGTGTGTGTGTGTGTGTGTGTGTGTGTGTG